AATTTCGGGGTTCGAATGGGGTGTGGAAAGCACGAAGAAGGTCTAATAGATCCTCCTTCCGTTTTGCGTGGTTTAAGACCCTTCTTGACGCCATAATATAGTGACTTACCTCTTCATCGTCGTTGGAATGAGATGCCAACTTGTGTATCACTAATGGTAAGCCAGACTTTGTCCAACATTGTAGCGGATACAGTTTGGAGTGATCGAGAATTCCAGTTGGCACGATGGGCTTTCCAGTGTTGGAAGCACTGTAGACTCACAACCAAAAGGGTGAGTTGAAGTGCTTGTTGTGTGCTGTGCTCACTTTCCACATCCAATTGAGTACAAATTCGATGTTATTTGGGTCCTTCTTCAACTAGGCATTCCTCTGTTGCTTCCTTCCCATCAGTCGAATCAGAGTACGTGCGATTCACACACACACGCCCCCCAATGTATACGTCCACGGCTTTGATCGTTGTACAGCGGCCATGTCTTTGTTTTGAAGCATTGACCACGTGAAAAGTAGGAATGAAAGTGACGTTGCTCCTCTCTCCCACTCTCTTTGCCCAACAAATAGCGTCTCTTTAACGCATGTGCTCGTGCAGGGCTTGATTTCTTTCCACCATGGTAAAAGGGGTGGCACGGTGCTCTCCACAGGGTTGCCATTGCCGCCTACCACTTTCAAGCCTCTTCCTTTTTAGGACATCCTGTGGAACAACGCGGTTCTGCTAAAGGAGGCTAACGTAATGAGCGTTGAATTGGATAAAAAGGTAAAGATTTTGCTTTTCTTCATTTGGAACCTAGCCGTTTGGTTAAAGAGAAACGCTTCTTTGAAGAGTCATTGCAGGTCCTGGCACACCTCTCAAGGCCTATAAGTAGGTGGGGAGGGGAGTCGGAGGGTCGGAGGGGAGTGAACACACGAGAGACTGAAGGAGTGTAATCATCCTCTAGCCCATACACTCGCCTTTGAAAAGTACAGTTAACTAAAAGATCTGTGGTGGGTAGTTAATCAACGGAGGCATTGTTGAGGTCTTGTCTACTTAAATGAAATAATCAGTAGAAGGCTCAGGCAAGGAAGGGCGCAATTTGGTCGGGAAGAATAATTTCCAAAACATTTTGCTTTTATAGATGCAATATCAATTTGTCATGCTAAGTGACACCCCCTACACACCACTGAAGGACGAATTGATGGAAGTGCGAAACTCGTTGCAGAATCATGACACCCGTACAGTGGACGGTTTAAATTCTTCTCCAGCAGTTGAGGAGCCGCCTCTCAATCGAGGTATCATCGCTGTTGAAGCCTTTAACACAGTCAATGGTCTCAGCTACAAGTGGAGTCTTCAAGCCTTCTAGTGAGTAAATGAAATTGCGTAAACTGTCTTCATGCCACTTGAAGTCCAGGCTGCGGTGTTAAAAAAGGTATGAAAATTTAAGATGGAATAAAGGGATGCGAAGTAGCTTAGAAGGCTCCAAACTATATCATTCACACAGTTAGACAAAAAAACCACAGGTAAATTGTCTCGTCACGAATACGCGTCTTCTTTTATCCACCAAATTGTGCCATCACTTCCATGGAA